TCGGTTCTTTTATACTTAGTCGGATAGGTCGAATATTGATTTGAAAAATTCTTGCTAATGGAGAAACAAGGTTATTAAACAAATATATCTTGCTTACGTACTTCATAAAGGGCTGGTATTCAAATCAAAGATTTCCCTTCTTATGATTTTCCATAAAGGATATTAAAATCTTAGCTCGTTATTCCGGAAAAAAATCTGTCAAATAATCTGATTTGGCAAACTTGGGGGAATTAACTCATACTACAATCATACACGTAGCTAATATCAAATCAATTGGTCTTATTCTGCAACAGTTAAATATTCTAATTTGAATGTCATATATATGATGCGTTTCATGATTAATGAATCATGAAATGTTTGTTTTCTTGTTAATGCAATATACGTGGTGAAAAAAATGTAATGTCCACACTAATCAGAAATATCATTAATACTAGTGAACAGGTGTATCATATTGCAAGTCATTCACTTGTGCTTGTTTGCTTTTATTTATTTACGTTAAACCAGATATCTGGCAGATATTCTTCAAAGACGTCTTCCATTTTTGAAATTTTTGTGATGGAAAGAAATCTCTTTTGTGGCTATGATAATCTGAAACAGCAGGGTGATTGTGACAAAACTAATAACCAGGAAAACAGTTACAAAAGCGATTGTTATTGCTATTTTTCTATTCTTTTCTGCCTCTAGATCCACTGCTGATTCTTTTGACTCAGCATTATTTGCTTTTTCCTTTTGAACACTCTTTCCTTCTGCTGTTTTGAGGCTGCAATCTATTTGTACTGTCAGGTAATTGAGTGTTTCAACTTTGTTTTTCATTTCTCTTTTTGATTTAGCTTTATTAAGAAGAGCATTTCGGATTTTCACTTGAAAGAACTACCAGTATAATACAAGTGAGTTCAATCACGAATATGAAAGCATAAACAATAAAAATAAAAGATTCCCATCATATTCGTTTTCTATATTGCACCGAATAGCATTAATGTTTTCTACTTGTACATGTCTCTTTCCATAAATCATATAAATAAATTGGGAATGAATTGTATGACAAAACTAACGCAAGTAACATTCACACGTATCATAAAGAGAACGTCATCATAATTTGGGATTTTAAAGGTGTACACATTTTTTCTGTATTTTTCGAAGCTGATAAAAAGAGCGATCAGAAGAAAAGCTGTCTCTCCAGAATAACTAGTAATAGTAAGATCATATTAAGAGAAATCGTCGTCATGAAGAATGGGCGGAGCTTAGCGTAGCCCTTTCTTTATAACGAAGATTTCTCTTAATATGATCTTAATAACTTAGAACATAACCCCAGCCAGTGAAGTCTATGATTCGAAAATAAAGTCCTCCCATGGTTGTGTCATAATAGTGTCATGCCTAAATTGGCCGCTCATTCTATATAATTACAAATGTATACATATCCGACACACACACAATATCGAACACGCACAGTTTCAAAATGGATCTCCAACCCATTCAGGTTAGCATGAACTTAAATGAAATTGTTCTTGATTTACTGGGAGACTGGGAAAAGAAGGACATTAAAACTACTGAGTCAATGAACATCCTTGTACCAAGAATGTTTTTTTTTTTAATTTTTTTATGTAAAATTGTGGTTTAATGACAAGACCGTAGCCAGCAGGAACGGACATCGCTCTAACGGCACATACAAGTACCATCGGGAACATTTTCCTGTACTGAAGGAAATTAGCAGCACTTTCGCTTCTCCTTTACCCCCACCCCCAAAAATTATGAAAATAGGGCTTTAAATCGAGACAATGCTGGTCTCTGATATACATGACGACGATTGTATTTTTCTGTATGTGCCGAAATGTTGCAAAAAAAAAGAAAAAGAAAGAAAGAAAGAATCTTAGTATTCAGAAAGGTAACAAGACATTAGAGTGAAAAATACAAAATAAAGTGAATTCTAAGACCCGGAAAAATTTAAATATGATTTTGAAACAGTACATGTGTACATGTCTTGCATTATCTTTTTTGTGTGAGAAATATAAGCAATAAAGAAACGCCCACATAACTGTTAAGTGAACCAATCAAACATCGTTCAATATTTCAGAAGAACTATTCTTCCACATGAAAAATCGATTTTTCATGAGAATTGGAAAAAATTGATTGGCTGAATAAGTGGGGTATGTTCTAAATATAGTGAGACATCTTACATACCACACCGTTCCCAACGGCCTGTTGATAGTAGGCGTATGTCATTCTACTAATTTCTTTTGGAATGTGAGAAATACACAGAGAGAAAGATCGACTACAAAAAGAAAAAGGACGATCGAAGATCCTGTAATTTGAGGCGAGAGTAAGGTACGTGTTCGAAAGGTATGTATAACCACACGATTGCCAAGTATCGTATATCATATTTTTCTGCGTGTATCCAATTTCCTCTTTGTTCGTGAAGATTGTCGACTCGCGGAAAGATAAATCAGAGTAATTTTGATACAAAGTTTTGTTCTTGTAATAGAGTTATCTCTCTTTGCTTATAAATTATACATGTAAGTTTGTTTGTTTGTTTATTGTTTAACGTCCCTCTCGAGAATTTTTCACTCATATGGAGACGCCACCACTTGCCGGTGGAGAGCTGCAAATTTTGACAGGTACTCGGAACTTAGGGTCATAGAGCTGTGAGGGATCATTATCGTGCCAGCACCTACTGCGACACGGGACCTCGGTTTATACGATCTCATCCGAAAGACCGGTCTCCACGTCCCACAGTTGGATTCGAACCCGCGACATAAGGATCAACTCCTTACTCCGCGACTCTAGAGCGAACCACTGCGCCATATACAGGTAAGTAAATGTTGGGTGAACTGTGTTCAGTTACTTTTGTTCTGTGTGCTTTGTTTCCCTTCTGTATATAGAAAAAATCCTGTCTTTAATAGTAAGGCAATGTTTTAAAATGTCTATTCTTAGAGAAATCACTGTAAATAATAAAAATGTATCTAACACTGACAAATTCACAAATTCAAAAAGAAGTCACTGACAAAGAACTTGAACAGGGTCAATCAACACCAAAGCGACGAGGAAAATATAAGACGTATTCTCCTAAACAATGGCATGAAATTGATTAATATGCAGTTGAAAAAAAGCCCAATTGCAGCTGTCAGAAAATTTTCACCTTTGTTAGAAAGTTACAATTTTAAAATTTTCCATACCTTGCATCTAACTAATTTTACCTTTTTTTCTAAGAGTACATCCAATTCCTGGTGTCTCAGGGGATCTTCTTTTGCTAAAATAAGATTTCCATATATGTTGACAATGTATTTAGTTCCTTATAAACTCACTGTGATATCTATAGCTGTAAGTTAAAATAATTGGTTTAACGTCTCGATTAATTATTTCGTCAATAGGAGTCCAATGACGAATTCTAGATCTATTTCTTGCATGGAAAATATTTCCATAATTGCTGGAAGTTATTTGTACATACATATAGAATGTTATTCATGTAATAAATATAAGAACAGATTACAAAATCTGTACGAATATCACATTTTACCTTTGATAACTATGAAAAATCGTGGTGTTGTAGATAAATATCTTTCTGATAAAGATTTTGTAAATGAATTTTTATATCTTCTTTCTTGGTACTAGATATAATCAATAAAAACTCACTCTTTCCCATACTTCATTCGTATTATTGAAATATGTCGTGTAAAGATAATGAAAAGTAATCAATCGCATAAATACAATAGACATCTTGAACTGGACAAAAACACGGACCTGAAACACTTGAAGTGGGATTAGATACCCAGGAGGAGTAAGCATTCCCTGTCGACCGGTCACACCCGTCGTGAGCCCTATTTATTGATCAGGTCAAAGGCGTAATCCGTAGTAAAAATTTAGTATAAAAGCAATGACCTATCTTAAAAAAAGCATTTTCAAGGTTTTCGAATATGATAATCTGGATACCCGTATTCAATTTAGTATAATTGTAAAGGAAAAGCCAAGAACAGATACATGTAAGTAACCTTATTCTAAGGCACTGCAATAAGACAATATCATCATAATAAAAAAAGCCCATATGCGTAATTAGTTTTCTTCATTTTTCATTTCGAATGACGGTTAAAACGTATTTAAATTGCCTTTACCTAATGGTTATTCCGGATACACTGTAGCTGAACAAAGTTGTATGTTTGATTACATGCATGGTATCATTATTAAGGTATCATTCCCTCATATTTTATTATTTCTTAGAGCCTTTTATTTACTGGTCCTTTATTTTAAGTAAACATATATTTCTCACAATATCATTACCGATAATTTTTTTTTTATCATAAATTAAATTATTCATTTCTAAATCCAAGACATGGATTGTAAAATTATATCAATACCAGTTTTACAGAACTCTTTCTCATTATTTCTCTGTAAAGTCTCCCTAAAATTCGTGAAATGTTTAAAAGATAATACCTGAAAACAATTCCACAAGCTATACTTTGGATTATCATATAAAATCATGTTCCGAAGTACTCATAATTAAGAAAAGCTTCGATTTCACCTCCTCGTGTTTCGTATTTCCATATTTTCTAGATATTGGATGAAAGTAAAATGGAATAACACAAAGACAGCCAATATACAGTCAACAGTAACAGGACCCTGATTTTCTCATATACATTAACATAAGATATCATATATTTAAAGATCTAGTGCAGAAGTTTTGAAATTACAAATGTGCATAAAGATTTCATTCTTTATAAAAATCATTTTAATACATAATAATAGTCTTCTTAATCACGAGACAAAATTACTAAAGTACCAAACAATAACTTATGGCCAAGAACAACCTGATCTGCTACAAATACAAAGTCCGAGAAGAAACATTCTGTAAGCCTTTGTAAGTCTGTGGGTGTGGTCGAAAGATAAGTAGTAGAAAAAATATTATTCAATTAAACACGATCGTGACAAAGCATTTGCTGAAGCTACTCATCTTTTAACAGTCTCACAATAAAGAAATAGGGCAATATATCAAAAATGGGAAATATTGACCTCTATACTTTTCTTCTGCATAGCTTCATCACTTCTTCCTTGAACTGTGCATCAGTAAAAAAGTAAACAAATGGATTCATAATCCCATTAATAACTACAATATCTGGCAGGTATTCTTCAAAGATGTCTTCCATTTTAGAAATTTGTTGTCGTGGATAGAAGTATCTTTTGATGGCTTGAGTAGTCTGAAATAATGTGATTGTGACGAAGCTGGTTACCAAGAAAACAGTTACAAAAGCAAATGTTATCGCTATTCGTCTATTCTTTTCTTCCTCTGAATCTGTAGCCCGTCTCTTTGACTCTGGTTGATTCGTTTTCTTTTTTTGAACACTCTTTCCATCCAGTGTTCTAATGCCGCATTCTTCTTGTTCTTCTCCGGTACTTAGTTCTTTAGCCTTGCTTTTCATCTGCTTTTTTGTTTTAGCTTTCTTAACAAGAGCTTTTCGTATTTTCACTTGAAATATAACTATCAGTATAATACAAGTGAATGCAGCCACGAATACGAAAGCATAATATAGGAAAGTTAAAAAGTTTCCATCATATTCGTTTTCTACATTGCACCGAGTAGCATTAATGTTTTCTACTTGTACATGTCTTTCTCCATTCATCAAATAAACTGGGAATTGTATAATACAACCAATACAAATTACACTCACACAAATCATCTTCGAGCGGGACATTGTAATCTGTGAGTTGAAAGGTGTGCAAATTTTCCTGTATCTTTCGAAACTGATAAAAAGAGCAATCAGAAGAGAAGCCATCCCTACAGAATTACCAAGATAGTGAGACATCTTACATATCACGTCACTCCTTCCGCCAAGTTGATTGTAGACAGATATCATTCTGCTCATTTCTTTTGGAATGTGAGAAATACATAGAGAGAGATCGACTACAGAAAGAAAAAGGACGAAGATCCTGTAATTTGAGGCTGGAGCAGTACGTGTTCGAAAGATATGTATAACCACACCATTGCCAATTATTCCAATGATGTTGAGAATGAAAGTTATGACTCCTAGTGGGGCTCTTTCTATTCTCCCTTCTACATTGTAATCTAATGATAGCTGATTTACCATACTGAACAATTATTTCGAGAAATGGAGATACCTGGAAAAAAAAAGAAAATTCTTTGAATGATTGAAAGCATATCTTATAAAACTGATAACAAATATTTGTTTTAGTATTGTTTCTGATATTTTTATATTCAGTCTGGCAATTTTATCTGAATTAGGAAGTTTTGCAGTTTTATCATGTTCTCAGTTATCTACAAACATTTTTGCATATCTTCAACAGCTATCTGATATAAAAGTGTATTCCCTTATAGTATCTTATATTTTCCCTAATGATATCATAGGCACAGTCTGTGCAAGTACTGATAAATTCAAATATTCATCCTGAGTATTCTTATAATATTGTTACTCCTTGTTGACGATGAATGAAATAAGATTATATATTATATTTTTTGTTCTTCAATTTATACATGCATAATTTTTATATTAATCGGAACTATTAATTACATGAATAACTACGATATCTGGCAGATATTATTCAAACGTGTCTTCCATTTTTGAATTTTTTTGCGGTAGAAAGAAATATCTTTTGGTGCCTTTGATAGTCTTAAACAGGATGGTTGTGACAAAACTGGTAACCAAAATAAAAAAAAAAGTTACAAAAGCAGTTGCTATCGCTATTCGTCTATTCTTTTTAGCCTCTAGATCTACTGCTGGTTCTTTTGACTCTACTTTATTTGCTTTTTACTTTTTGAACACTCTTTCCATCTGGTGTTTTAATGCTGCAGTCTATTTGTACTGTCAGGTAATTGAGTGTTTTAACCTTGCTTTTCATCTGTCTTTTTGCTTTAGCTTTCTTATGATGAGCATTTCGTATTTTCACTTGAAATATAACTACCAGTATAATACAAGTGAATGCCGACACGAATATGAAAGCATAAACAAGAAAATTAAAAGATTCCCATCATATTTGTTTCCTATGTTGCACCGAGTGGCATTTATGTTTTCTTCTTGTACATGTCTCTTTACATCAATAAAATAAATAGGGAATTATACAACAAAATAAATGCAAGGTACATTCACACACATTATCTAGAGAACGCCATCACAATTTGGAATTTTCAAGGTGTGCAAATTTTTCTATATCTTTCGAACGATCTGTTGATTGTACATCTATATCATTCTACTCATTTCTTTTGGGATGTGAGAATAGATAGAAAGAGATCGACAACAGATAGAAAAAGGACGATCCTTAATTTGAGGCTGAAGCAGCTCGTGTTCGAAAGATATGTATAACCGCACCATTGCCAACTACCGTATATCAAGCTTTTTCTGCGTGTATCCAATTTCCGCGTTGTTCGTCACGATATCCAAATCGCAGAAAATAAATCAGCTTGAATTTGATAAACGTTTTGTTCTTGTAATAGAGTTATCTCTCTTTGCTTATATAGTATATATGTAAGTAATTGTTAGGTGAACTGTGTTCAGTTAGTTTTGCTCTGTGTGCTTGTTTCCCTTCTATATAAAGAAAAACCCATTCGTTAATAGTAAGGCAATGTTTTAAGATGTCTATTCGTAGATACATCACTGTAAGAAATAAGAATGTACCTAAAGCTGACGAATTTTAAATAATCACCGCTGAAGTTGAGAAAGAACTTGAACAGGGCCAAACAACACCAAAGCGACGGGGAAATTATTGGACGTATTTTCCTAAACAACCGTATGAAATTGGTTAATATGCAGTTGAGAACAGCCCAACTGCAGCTGCCAGAAAATTTTTACCTTTGTTAAAAAGATTGATTGATTGTATGTTGTTTAACGCCTCGTTCGAGAATTTTTTTCTCATATAGAGACATCACCATATACCGGTGAAGGACTTCAAATTTAGATCTTTACTCGGCACTTGAGCAGTGAGGGTTCTTTATCGTGCCAACGCCTACCGTGACACGGGGCCTCGGTTTTTAAGGTCTCATCCGAAAGACCTGCAACTTTCACTTCAAAGTGCCGAGCGCTTGGCGAAGGAACAGTTGTTACCTATTTTTGTCGACATAGGTCAGTCGCGGCCGTGATTCGAACATATGACCTTCTGATCACGGAGCGAGCGTTCTACCGGCTGAGGTACGGTGACAGTTTCATAGAAAGAAAATTGAATGAAAATGCTGTTACGGTTTTCAAAAAGGACTATTCGAACCATGTGGCAGTGAAGCGCAAATTGATTGATACGGGCGGTGAGAACGACTCCGAAGTTTTCACCCAAAGAAAAGAGGAAGAAAATGTTACTTGGCGATGAACTAGACAATAAAGTTAAGTGTATTGTGTCTACAAGTAGAAAATCTGGCGGAGTCGTCAATACTGCTAAAGTGAAAGCCGCTGGGCGTGGGGTAGTTCTTTCCTGGATCGCTCCCTTCTACAGGAAAATGGACACATTGAGATTACACGCGCTTGGGCCCTCCCCTTATTAGTCTTATTGACTTAGTGGAACACAAGGGAACTACGTCAAAAAAGTTCTGAGCGGGTCTTCCGAAATTGACGAGGTGAGGGTCAACCTATCTCTCACCCGGACCACTTAGAGCTAAATGACCGACAAAGCTATATGACTACGTGAGAACAAAACCCAAATTGTTATAAATGGGTTCAAGGAAGCAGGAATATCATCCATATTGGGATTCGATTAAATTGTGACAGTTGTCAGAAATCGTGTAAATTGCTTTATTGACTGAATTTTTTTCATTAAAAATTAAGAGTTATTCGTAGAAATACTGCCCCCCCCCCCCCAATCCTTCACAGGTTTAAACAATCGTGAATTAAATTTTCACTATGACTTTGAAATAGTGAAAATTTGATTCGCGTTAATTCAATATACTGTTCTAGGTTCTGATCTGCGAAAAAAAATATGAATCGGAAAGAACCTGATATACAACTTTCCTACGATGATGAAAATGTAAGGTATGACTCCTTGCGGTGACCTTTCTATGTATATAGAAAGCTGTGATACAAAAAGACACAGGCAAACAGAAAATAAAAGAAAATGTCATAAACAGAAAATTCATATTTTGTAGCTGGATATGGAATTTTTATATTTTCACCTGTGCTTCGTACTTGTGAAAATATCAAAAAAAATCCTGTCGTGAAACAAATTCCATATCCAACTACAAAAAAAGGAATATCCTCGTTTTATTTACTAATAGCTATAAATATTATAAATCCGCAACAAATTACTTAAAAAGCAATAACTTTTGGATTACAAGTTTTTCTGTAACGCCACTGGGTAGGAGATTGATCCTTCGGAAAATTCTAAACTTCTTGGGAATAAATCTCACGAATAAAAGGGTTTAAAAACTAGTTTGCCAAAAGATATTGCACTTAATTTATATTTATGCGGATTTACAATATTTATCGCCAAAATATTTTTGTTTTATTTTTGAACTATAATTTTTTTTTTTTTTTTTTTGTTGTTGTTGTACATTTTCAACAATGAAATAATGTAATCTATTTATTGAATAAAATGATATTCTGTCACAGTATGAAAGAATATCAAAGTGACATTCTGTCAGAGTGTGACGAATATCAGAATTAAAGAAAAATCTTGATTTTCCTTCCCTTCACGAAGAATTAAAAAAAATAATTACACCCTGGACTGTAATAAGACGGAGAGAGTCAATATATTCTCCAGATATGTTGTTGAAATCCATGTTTACAATGTTTTCAATCTCACAATATTGCTAAGCTGTGACGTCTCTACCGCTCAACTGTGACATCAAAGCCCATGACACTTTTATGAAAAGACAGAGGCAAAGGAAAATCAAAGAAAAATGTAATAAACAGAAAATTCAATGTTTTTTAGTTAGATATAGAATTTATTTCACTCGTGAGACTGGATTATTTGATATTTGCTTCGCACTCTTGAAAAGTTCTTTATCCAACTATACAAAACATTGAATATTCTCTATTTATTGCATCAAATCAAAAATACAATTTCCTATCCCACAATTAATATGTTTTCAACGAAATAAAACGGACAAAAATTAAGTCTATAAAGTGTTTAAAATGATCGGCAAAGAAATCAACCTATATGCATATTTAAAAAAAACTTACTGGTTTCTTAAACATTTGATGCTACTTGCTTTCTTTACATGAAATATGGTATGGTTGAAGATTTACGCTACCATGCACTATAGATCACAATATGCGACAAAAAGGAGAATATATTGCCGGAAAGATTCCCTCTATTGGTATAAAAACGGAAAGGTCTGATTATATCGATTGTCAACTGGTTCATTGGGTAAAATTTTGCAACTGTCCTTTAAATCAGACATAAAACCAACTAATTGAGACACTCGGATGTTTCACAGCACTTTATGAAATCAGGTATGTTACTCCTAGGGTCGAGTGTAGAAGAAATCTATTGTAAAGAAAACATTTGATTCTGACAACTTGGTTATTATTTTTGTAGGTAATTTTCAATCAGTAGAAATATTTTCGAATTTAAAAAGAAATAAGAAATATTTTCAAAATGTTCCAGAAATAAACCCTTTCTTTGAACCTAAAATCAGTGAGTTGGATTAAAAAATGTGAAAGTGAATCTTGTGTTTTAAACAGTATAATCTCA